AGGAAGTGAACCGAAAAATGATTGCTTCTAATTTTATTCACCGTCTATGAATAAAATTGTGGAATTCTTTGCCCTTCTTAGCAGCCTCGAATGGTTGGCAATAATTGAAAAATATTTATTGCGTGTAAAGTCGAAAAACACAGGACGATTCAAATTTTTCTAGAGGGAAGACTGCAATAGCTTGTTACGTAGATGTACATTTACTTTTTTTATCGAATTTCTTACCTACATACACAATAGGAGGACGAGTCCCACACGCCAAAATTTCTAAATGCACGCAGGCCCTGCGTACATGTGAGAGTATGTAACTAGTTCGATAACCCAAATTCGGTACATATATATTTATCCTTGTTATTACATGTTTATGAGTAAGGAGAAAACATTTTTTAATTCTATAAAATAGAAATTATTTACTACATTTTTTTATGTTTCATTATTTCCTTAATAATTTTTTAGTCTAATTTTTTAAAAATTTATTATATTCAGATATAGTACTAATTGTTTTAAATTAGTACTACTATTTTTTTAATAATATTACGTTAGTTATCAGCTTACATAACAGTGAAAGTAAATCATATTTCTTACATATAAGTGAGAAAAAATAATATTTAAACTGTTTTTGAAGTTAAAAATAAATATTTTTAAACTTATAAACAAACGTGTTGCTTAATCACATTTCGTAAAATTACCCTTTAACAGTCAAATTTTGTTGTCGAAAATGAACATCAACCATTTTATATAAGGTGATTAGCACTAAACATCCATACCTTTCAATGTTAATGCGCAAAACGTTCATATCTTTTATTTTATTTTATTTTTGACATTTTCAATCTTATTTTCACCTTTCACTGTGAAAAATCATCATTTCTTCCAACTTCGAATAAAAAAAATATAAAATGATAAATATATCCTTCTATTTTAATAAAAACAAAAAAATAAACAAATTGCAATCACACTCTCAATTTTTTTTAGAAAGTGCAAATAAATATTTAAAAGGATGATTAACACAAAACGTACTTACTTTTCAATATTATTGTGCAAAATATCTTTACCTTTTATTTTTTGATATTTTCACCCTTATTTTCACATTTTATTGCGAAAATCATCATTTTTATCCATTTTCTCAATTAAAATCTATAAAAATAACGAATATATCCTCCTATTTAAATGAAACAAAAGTAAAGAAAAGAAAAATAAAGAACAAATCGCAACTATACTTTCAAAATTTTCAAAAAAAATACAATTATTTATTTGGAACTTATTTGTACTTTTTTTTTAAAAAAAATTTGAGAGTATAGTTGTAATTTGTTCTTTATTTTTCTTTTCTTTATTTTTGTTTCATTTAAAGAGCAGGGTATGTTACTCATTTTACAGCTTTTAATTAAGAAAAATGATGAAAATGATGATTTTTGAAATGAAATGCGAAAATAAGGGTGGAAATGTTAAAAAATGAAAGGTAAAAACATTTTGCACAATAATATTGAAAGGTAATGATGTTTGTAATAATTACCTTTTCAATAATTTATTTGTACTCTTTTGACTTTTTATAAGTTCAGGAATGTGATTGTAATTGGTTCTTTAATTTGTTCTTTCTTTTTATTTTATTTAAATAGGCGGATATATTTGTCATTTTATCTTTTTATTAAGAAATTCGATGAAAGTGATGATTCCACAATGAAACATGAAAGTAGGAGTGTAAATGTGATAAAATAAAATATAGAAATATTTTGCGCAATAATACTGAAAGGTAAAGACATTTTGTACTAATTACCCTTTTATAAATGAGCATAATTATATTAAAGGGAGGCCTTACTAACACCATGTATGGTACATTATCCTAGGGTTATGCGTAAACTAATCTAATTTTTCATAATTAGAGATTATTTTGTTTAACAATCACATAGAGTGGTGGGAGTTGGAAAACCAATGGGTTATTGGAGCATGATTTTTTAAACGAAGTTAGAGGAGAAAATACTTATCGAAATTTCATTCTTGGAAAGCAGTTGATCGCGATTGATAACGACAAATCGAAAGATAAAACTAAATAGAGAAACTTGATATTGAATTCATTGACTTTGAAGTTACGTAAGAAGAAAGAGTTGTTGAGGAAACATGTAACTTATCCTACCTCCTTCCCATTTATGTAAGTCAATTTTCCTTATTTTCTTGTTTAATTACATAGTCATGTTTCTTTATTGAGAATGTTTTATTTTATTCATTTACTGATATATCCTTATTTAATTTGCCTATTTATAACCAAATTTCCCCCACTTAATTTTGAAATTGTACAAATATAAATAAGGATAGACTAAAAAAGTTTTTGACAAAAATTATTCTTTTCAATAACATCAGATAAGATTTTTTTAATCCGTGAAAAAAATAAAATCAATTTGTATAAATGGGACGGAGGGAGTATTTTATTTGAATGAGGACCCAAAAATTTTAACAAGAAGACAGCATTGGAGTTAAAGAAAAATGAAATATGGAAGTGGGTATTAGCAGAGTAAAAGTAGGTTTAAAGCTTTCACTTCTTATGATGTATTTGTAAGAATCATCAGCTTCAGCTGAGTCATAATGACAAGAAGAGGGGTGTCAAATTGTGGAGTTTAGTTATTGTCAATCATAAGTTTTGTCACTTTATAGAACTGTTTTGCATGTATTTCCATGTCTTTGTTTCCAAGCGTTATCATCGAGGATTGTTTAGGAAATTGTATTCTTGTAAAATTCTATTAAGGAATTGAAGTCCTTGAAAAATTCAATTTTACCCTAATTTATCTTATAAAAAGGAAGCCGTCCTCAGACTCTATCACCATCATAAAAGAGGGGAGAAAAAGATTTTAGAGAAGATAGTTGTGATTTTTGTTGTAAACCTTTTTTTTGGGTCATGGTGAAAGAGAACATAGTCTCACATTGAGGTGATCCTTTATAAATATTGCAGGTCCATGAGTGTTTAATTTTCTTTCTTCGAATTGATTGCTCTTGGTGGAATAAAATTAGCGTTTATAATTCTCAACAAGAAGAAGAAAGGTTGGAAACCATTGGAATCATTTCAAGCCTCAGAATTGCCATGAATGTAACAACGTACTAGAATAGAAAGATTGTGCATTCGGATTATATTCTTTATCTAATTGAACATTAATCGGATGAACCTCAAGTCCCATATAGTCCACATCATTCTAAAAGTTCGTTCAAATTTCATCATAGATGAAAGTCTTGAGAGTTGGCGGAAAGCTTGATCACGGCTCAAACTATCGCAAAAAAAATGAAGATGTAGTAGCCGACTCGTTGGATTTGGTGGAGTGTCCTAAAATATTAGTCACTGGCTAGATCGTGATCTAGTGTTTTTCGAAAGTGAGGTCTCGCTGTGATCCAATAATTCTTAAAATGGTTAATGATTTCCTTTCTTAATGGACAAATTGTCCCAATTGCCATTTGTGTGGTGCCTCCATCCCTTCGAGATGTCACTCCAAGTCAAGAAGATCTTACCATGTTCAGGTTAGCGTTCTCTCTGGAGTTGATTGGTTGATTATAAACCATTGAATAACGAATACATGGCACAACTAAAATAAAAATTTAAGGTTGATAATTTTTATATCATACTGAATTTATGGGAATTGAATGAACTATTATTATTTACAATATATTAATTCAACAAGAATAATGTTATGTAACCACAGTTTAAGTGACACCAGTTGATAGGTTAACTAAAATGTGAAATTAAATGAGTTATTTAATTCTATCTATCAATTAATGTCACATTAGCGCCACCTAAATTGGATTGCAATTTCGGTGGAGCTAAAAAACATTACTCATTTGGCAAAAATATCATTTATCCCGTGCCACACCACATGGTCCCCGCCCTTCATCTATCCCGTCCCACACCACCATCACAACCACCACAACCACCTCATTGTCATGATTACCGTCACAACCTCACTATCACCTCAGGATCCCTCTGTTAATAAATAATTGATCCGTCCTCCCCTGGACTTACTCTTTTATGGACATACGATAAGTTTTCTACTTTAATAAAAATTAATTGTTAAAAATACACGTCGAAAGTTCAACTGTTTTTGCCCAATTCAAAATAGATACACTTCCCTTAGTTGACCTTGCTCTTTCATTGAAATAGAATAAACTTTGATATTTAATAAAAATCGAATGAAAAAAAAATGTTAAAAATCATGATTACCGTCACAACCTCACTATCACCTCAGGATCCCTCTGTTAATAAATAACTGATCCGTCCTTCCCTTGTTTAAACTTACTCTTCTATAGACATACAATAAGTTTTCTACTTTAATAAAAACTAATTGACAAAAATACACGTCAAGAGTTCAACTGTTTTTGCCCAATTCAAAGAATAGATACACTTCACTTAGTTGACCTTGCTTTAGGATAAACTTTGATATTTAATAAAAATCAATTGATTAAAAAAAAAGAGACATATTCAAACACAAAGTTCGACTGTTTTTGCCCAATTCAAAGAATTGAATCATATCCACCCTTTTATTTGAACTTGCTCTCTCATAGAAATACGATAACTTTTTACCAATTGTCCAATCTAATATTATTATTTTGGACAAGATAATGTTTCCATCCAATTCTTATATATTTGATTCCCTTTGCCATGGCAATGTACGACACGAGCGTCGATGATTAATTTCAATATTATTTAATTGACATGGCACCACTCCATTTAGGAACGCGAGTATCGGTGAATATTTAAATATTATTTAAAGGATCTGTCTAACGAGAAAAATGGGGACCAGTAATTATTTCCTACAATTACGTGTCGTTTGTTTGCAGGGAAAGTACATAGATAATTCCAGTAGAGTTACGCTTACAATAATGCTATTGTGACAGGGTTATAAACAGGCTCAAATCCAGAATTTTAAAAAATCTGATGTGGCTGTTGAGTGTTGACTACCTTTTCTCTCATTCCAATATATATACATAATTAAAAAAGCCACAGTATCTTTCTTTGTCCATTTCGTGTGTTCTTTGAAAAAGTCCCCTTTTCTTCCTGTTCATCTTTCAATCGTAAAAGCCCTCTTCCCTCCCACTTCACCTTGTATTCGTAAAAGCAACAAAAGAGCAGAAATTAATAGCTTCAACTCCAGTCGCCACACCACATTTTGCTTTTAATTCTCACCCCGCACTACGCACCGTGTCCGGTCGTCTGAGACCCAACTCACAACTATTGCCCAAGAAATTTCCCCTCCGTGAGACCCGTCGGCGTTCACTACCGACTTCTTGCAAAATCATCACAAACATCAATCAATTTCCATTTTCCGGCTGTGCTCAGGTAGATGTTTTTCTATATCATCTATTATGACTTCCATTGACACTTTGTGATTTGATATACGGTCGTCCACAGATTACTGTGGCTCCTTTTTTGTTGTAATTTTGTATCCTTGATTTTCGATTTTTTTATTAGCTTATTCAGGTTGGGTATTCCAACTAATTCTAATTTATGTATTCCATTGAGTTCATGCATAATTGAGTTCACATTTATCGGTGGTGGTTCATTCCCGTTGTAGAATGCTCGGGAAGGAACTATGGAGTTACGCACGAAACAGTTGATGAAATGTCTCACATGTTCCGATCTCGGGTTCAGCTAAGTGAAGAACAACAACTTTAGATTTTGATGAACGTGACCATTCGGACGTCAAAAATTAGCCCAAAATTGAATGAAAAAGGGACGCAACCAACTTGATTAGAAGACAGTGATCGTGGTATTTGAGTGATGTTTGTATGTTTAATATGACGCAAAACCTTATTGTAGTGTAATTACATGTGTGTCGTCTTTGTGGAAAAATGAAATCGTCGAAGTTTTATCTCGTTGATGTAGCATGGCCTATCTCTAAACTTGATTTTGTGGTGTGGTTTATGGTTGCTATATGCTTGGAAAGGGCTATTGTTCAATCAAGATTTTTTTCCCCCTTCCGTGTATGTGGTGCTGTGAATTATATACTTTTATGTGTTCTAAAGGTGACAAATATGTATCAAAATAGCCGTATATTGGTGTAATCAAAGATCTCGTTACTTTTATTGAGGTGCTACCAAGAGATCTTCTATCATCCATATGCATTTAAATTGATATTTGATCAAATTAAGTAAAAGACATCACAATTAAGTGAGACATCTCTAGTAATGAACCTAAAGGGTTGCCAAAAAATATGATCTCATATCTGCTCCCAAAGATGATTGGAACAAATGTTGAATTTGTTGTTGAACAAAAGTACGCCTACAAGATTAATAAATTTGTGCCAGGTTTGAGGCTAAAGCTGTAATTTTGATACTTGCATCATAGATGGAGAAAACACATTTTTGCCTTTGTTCAATTTTAGCTCACGCTGTCGAAAATACAATTCTTGCATTTCTTTCATAGTCCCCCCATAACAAACTAACAAAATAGGCAAAACAACATCTAGATTGGTTTGAACAACAACAAAGATAACGAATACTCCCATCTAAATATTCAGCTCTATTTCTTTTGAAGGTACCAAGATGTATACTTTGACACACTTTCCCTCAAAATGTAGACATGTAAAGAATAAAGATTTAACATTATCTCGTCATGTTCACCTTCAAGTTCTTCTAACATCATCTCCATCATCTTCTGCTTGTTGATAGCCATAAACAGCCGTTCTTCTAGTTCATTCCCATCCCTTACGAAACTGAGTAGTTGCTTCTAGCTGCAAATTGCTATCATTTGACCAAATCCCAGCAATCATAGCAGGAAGACTCTCCAGCTGCAAACCAATCAAACCATTAATCACTATTTAGACAACAACAATATTCAACTCCTATTAATTAAAATAGAAAATTAAAAAGCAATTTCCCCAGTCACTCGCCAATAGTTAGTATAAACCCAAGCCAAGCATCTCAAAATTTGCAAATTTCAATCCTAAATTACCATGTAAATTACCAAAAACTGCAAATTTCAATCCTAAATTACCAAAATTATTCGGGTTATGTTTATGGACCGTAATTTCTTCACATCATATAATGCAAATATGCGATGCGGGCTTCAGTGTAGAGAGAAAATTTGAACTGTAAAAGAGACTTGAAAATAAAATTAGTTCAACATTTTCTCAATACCCACCACATCATAATTCCATTTTCTCAATAACCGCAACATTTTCCTCAGTAAACAAGAAAGCCCCGAAGAATAGAAAATCAAAGAGTAAATAGGTGGAATCCCCGGAAACCAAAATTAATAAAATGTACAATGTAATGAAGGCATGATTTTTTTCCCTAGCAAAGTAAAATTTTATTACTGCAAACAGTTCATTTCTCTTATTACAAATTTTGAAGTTAGGAATCTTCAATATAATTAATTTCAAGTGTATTAATGAATGAGCGAGCTGTTTCTAGTTAACAGGAGATCCATTCGGTTGCAGTTAATTACATAAATTCTTATTAATTGCAAAAATCCAGAAATTTAAGCAAAAAGGAGCAATTCATTACAAAAAAACAAAGTGAAATTTAACCACCTGAATTCACTCGTCGCCGAAGCCAATGTTCTCGTAGCTTCTATCGGCTAATGCTCAGCACCCTCTTTCTATCAGCCCTCAACCACCCTCTCTCCACATTTATCGGAATTTCCCAAGCCAGTCGAAATAACCCCTAAAGTCGGAGATGGTGGGTACACATTGCTGAATTCATTTTGTGGATGGTTTTTGGTCGACTGCAAAAGTTGAGAGAGAAGCTGCTATTTTTAGTTGTATATGAGTTTCTCTCCCTTTTTTCCCGCTCACGCTTTTGTTCCCTCCAAACAGCAATGAAATGAACAGGAAAGGTAGTCAACAGCCACGTCAGATTTTTTAAAATTCTGGATTTGAGCCTGTTTATAACCCTGTCACAATAGCATTATTGTTTATGATAAGTCCCTCTGATATTCAAAAAGCTACTTAATAGATGTTGGACAAATGTGAAATGCAAAAGTGAATTGAAATAGTTACTAGTAGAACCAAATATAAATGTCAGGGCCCATTTGACATAATTTTTAAAAGTCAAAAGGAGTTTTTGAAATCCTGAAAATTACTTTTGGATCCATTTCACTTATTTATGAAAGGGTTTATTCTTATTAAACAAAATCAATTGAGGATGAAGTAGAACGGAGTGGGCCACGACCTTACGAGAAATCTCTTCCCATCCCTGCCTCATCTCCAAGAGGCCAAGAGGAGGTTAAAAATATCTTCATTTTCTCCCATTTATTTATTGGGGAATTTACATAAATGTCACTAAAATTGAAAATGCACAAAAAAATTTCATTTGCACCAATTTCTTCCAAAAACATCACTTTTGTTGCAAAATGTCCATTTTAACCTTTAGACACCTTTTTAAGAGCAATAAATGCTTGATTTGAATGCAATTAATGGTGTTATATGACGATTTGTTTTATTAAATTTAAATATTTAAGATATAATTATTATATTGTATAATATGAATTTTTGATTTAAAAAGGGGTGAAAACTTAAAAATAAAAAACTCACACACACACACAAATACGTTGGAATACAAACCCTACATTCTTCTTCACCATCTTCATTTCATCATCAACAAGGCAAGAAGAGAAAGCTATTGATCAATCTCAAATGTGAGCTACTAGAAAAAATTATTTTTTATTTGATAATTTACTACTTTAAATGTTTAATACAATATGGTCATATTTAGTTGACTCTTTTTGAATCTAATTCATTTATGTATTTTATTTTTGAAATATTTTTTGAAGGAAAAAATACAAACATCCTCTATAAAATGTGAAGGATTCCATATTTAACGAAACATTGAGTTATTCCTTCTTTATTTATGAGAAAATATTGTAATGTTGTAGTTGAGAATTGATTATCACCATTAATGTATTCAATAATTTCTTCCAAATAAAGCAAACCGTGAACCCTCCTAAACGAGCAATTTTTGTTGTCTATTCGATCCGACCTTCGTGTACGCAAGTTGTGCTTTCACACAAATTCAAGGTTCGAAGTGCTCATTCGATACGTGATTTGCACCTTTCTAAGCGCGTACGTGGAGAGAATTTTTATACTATATATAAATACACCCTTTTAAAATATAGCCATATATAAATTGGTCTTTGCCTTAATCATTTTTCTATGCGGAACAAACGAACATAGTTATCCCTCCAAAACATATACATCTTCCAATGGTCCTGTTTGAACTCCAATTTCTCATGCACCTAATTATCATTTTTGGTAAGTAAATAAATTACTTCGATGATCGCATAGAGGAGAATACGAAACAATTTTGATCTTCAAAAATGAACAAACAGGTCCCACTCAAAATTATGTTAAAACTAGCTCATAAAGCCATTTTTCCACAAAAGTTGCAATAATTTGATGTCATGGGTTGGAGATGGCCTAATTATCAGCTCTTGCTAAAAGGCTTATTTCAATTTTATTCGCACAACGCAAAATTAGGGCTCTTAGATTGAAGTTTGAAATTTATAATTTTAATTCTTTAATACATAGCTAGAATATAAAGAAAATAGATACAGTTGGTAGAGAATAGGAACAAGATTTTTAAAGATTTATAGGAATATGATTATTTTGTAATGCAAATACACAAATGCCACAGTTTAAACATGATCAAATAACATACTTGTCCTACAAATTCGTCATAAAATTCGAAATATTTAAATTGAAAAAAACTATTGACCTTCGCATCTAACATGATTCAACTGTCAACAGAAAACATCCATGTTAGATTACATTGACCATTGCTTTGATGGGTGTTCAATAGTTGCGTGCACACTGAAGATCAAGTCAGGATATATATTGGTGTGGAAAAGACACAACTGACAAAAATATAGGTTTGAGTTGTAAAGAAAATTATCAAGATTGCAAGTACTTTGGATGTCCTTAGGTCTCATCCTTTCCATATCCATATACTTTCTTATATATAGTTTTTTTTTTTTTAATCAACAGTAAAGCATGTATCCTAGGGTAGAAAAATGACTTACTAAGTATCGGTTATATAATACATCAATTCATTGATAGATAACAAGTTTAATTCAAATATTGAGACCTATACACTTAGCCTCCATTTGAGCTATATTATTGTAAAAATGAGAATGAAAAATATAGCCGTTATGGGTCCCACGCAAGAAATAAAAAGTCAAATATGGTAGCTTAACATGATGAATATCAATCATATTTTTCATTTTAATAAGAAAATAACGGAGCTCAGACATACACTTAATTATATGTGTCATGTCATTTGATCTTAGTATATCATTTCTCTTCAAAGGCATTCCCCAAGAATTAATAAACATGCATTTAATTGACAAGTATTTCAAAAAGAATCACATATCATATTTGGTGCTTTGGCCACGTCAATGACCGAGTCGTGTGTGATAACTATGACCATGAGAGCAATCATAGCATGATCATATTTGGTTAGTGTGGTTAGATGGAATCTAACCGCTTGATTAGGACTCGATCTGCAATTTTGATGATGCTTTTGTTTTAAATGCTCGGTATTACAAGTGGGCTTTTGAGTCTTAGCCCTTCTTTGGCTCCCATTTTCAGAAAATGAAAATTGGTGGAATAGTGTTTTTTTGAAAAATGAGTTGTTGAAAAAGAAGGAAAGATTTTCGATTTACGCGTAATATTATTTTATGAAAAATTGTGTGGTTGAAAATAGGGGAGAAAAAAATGAAATGTAATGTAATGGAATTTAATAGGAGCCAAACGGGGGCTTATGTTGCTTAAAGTTGTATAAAGAATGAGATTATATACGATGCCAAAGCTATGGGATGTAAAAATACATCGATAGGGGAGCTTTCCGTCCTAGGAGGCCCCCGCACAAGCAATGGTGGATAAAGCAGAAACGAGAATGTCGGCTTGAATAACGTAAACATCGGTGAGAATCAAATGCCCCAAAAACCTGAGGGTTCCTATGCAAGGTAAACTGTAACTGGTAGATTCCAAGGTTTAGGAGAAGGAAGTGAAAAAATTTCAAAATCCATTTCTAACATCATATGATCTTCAAAAATCCTATGATTTCCGGCTTTCTCCTGGTACACTACCACAAAATTCATTCTAGTTACATCTCGCAACTTGTGTTTCTAAAAATATATACAAAAAACAACTTATCCAGAAACTACTCTAAATTCAATGATCTACTCCATCTTATCTTGAAGTATTCTTCATCAGTAAGAGGGCTTCTTTGTTCTTGACTGCTGAAAGATGTGGAACTATCGTTTTTATCAAGAAACGCAAGATTTATATGGGACTCTACACTTGAATCTGGATAAACTTCATCATCGTTGTCATCCGCAATTTCTGATTCGTACCCATTGCCAAACTGGGATTTTAATTCTTCATTCACAAATTCCTCCCCCATTAAGATATTCAATATCTATACAGACAAGAAGAATAGCAACACTCTCAATACTAGTACCACATCATGAGTTCACAAAAGATGCTAAAATGAAGAGTTTATTCACAAAACATGGTACCTGGCACATTCTGGGACGTAGCCGTGCTGCTTGTTTAAGACAGAGAGTTGCTGCTCGAGCCATTCTACGCATTTGAGCCTCATTGACATTGTCACTCAAATTTGGATCCAGGATGCTCTTTAAATCCCCATTGTCTAGTTTAGGCCTTGCCTAAACACAAATATTTCTTGTAAAATCCACATTGAAAACAATTAGGACATAAAATTTATGTTTACAACAAGGTTCTTACCCACATGACTAAACTTTCTTGGCCCTTCAGAGTCTCGAATCCAACTGGTTTTCTCCCTGATAGCAATTCTAGTAGAACCACACCAAAAGCATATACGTCAATCTTGTCACTCACTTTCCCATACATAAAATACTCGGGAGCAAGATAGCCAAAAGTCCCTACAACATCGCTAACTGTTAGGAAAGATTCCGTTTCTGGTCCCCATATTGCTAATCCAAAGTCAGATAACTGTAGCAAAGAGTTAACGTTTAACCATATGTGCATTGAAAAACGATGACTTTAAAATAAGATGCCTACTAAAAATGAGGGTGTAAAGAAGCACCTGTGGTTCTAATTTATCAGTGAGAAGAATGTTTGAAGACTTGATGTCCCTATGAATGACTGGCCTTGGACATTCATCATGTAGGTATTTGAGTGCTTCTGCAATCCCAACAGCTATTTTGAATCTTACTTCCCATGGCATTGAGTTCTGCTTTATATTTCCTGCTTTGGTAATCACCTCCATGTCAAGGTTATGTTCAGAGACACGTCTGGCTAAAAGCTTATAAGCAATTTTTTGTTTCCAAACACATACGAATATGTTACTTTTAAATACAACTTTGACTAACATAAAGAACTATTTATCTTAAAACTCGCTCTTTTACTTGTAAGAAAACTATTTATCTTATAACTTGCTCTTTTACTTATAAGAAAATCTTTTAAGCTTAGCCAAACATGATATTCGGATGAAATAACGTTTGATGCTCGAAGGACTTACTCTGTAAATTCTCTTCTAAATTTCCTGTAGGCAAAAAATCGTAAACTGATATCAAATTATCATCTTCTACACAAATACCGAGTAATGTTGTGATGCCTTTGTGCTTTAATGTGGTCATTATATCAACTTCCATGGTAAAATTCTTCCGTGCTTCTTTTGATGATATCAAAGTCTTTATAGCCACTTGTTTGCCACCGGGAAGAAGCCCCTTGTATACAGAGTTACAACCGCCTTTCCCAATAAGATTTTCTATAAAAATATAAACTAAATTAACTAACTCAGAGGATGCACCTTAAGTTAAGGTGAAACTGGAACAGAAAATTTGTCAAACATAATTTGAATGTGGAGCAACAACCTGAGGAAAATTGAGAAGTCGACATTTTAAGGAGTTCATGACTGAACCATTTGCAGCCTGATGACTTTGTAACTGGCATAAGTTTCAAATGGTTTGCCTCCTCACCCCGGACAGACATTTTGTAGTCTCCACTATTCACTTCAGAGATCCCATTTTCTATTCCTAAACTATCGCCTGTTTCATTTAGATTGGACTTAAATTCAGAAGCTTCAAGCAAAGATCGATTTGGTAAGCTCATTACCCATTGCACAACAGACATTTGTCTAGCTTCAGGAGCTGGTTGAATTATTGAACTAGATGTTTGGAGCAGAGGCCAACCAGGCTTCTCCTGTGAAAAGTCCTCTACCTTAAGAGAGATTGAATTCCAAGAACCTCTAATCTGTTGCAGAACAGACCTTTGTCTAGCTTCAGGAGCTGGTTGAGTTATTGAACTAGATGTTTGGAGCAGAGGCCAACCAGGCTTCTCCTGTGAAAAGTCCTCTACCTTAAGAGAGATTGAACTCCAAGAACCTTTAATCAGTCTTTTAACAGGATTTAAAGCTTCATCACTCAAGCTCTGACCACCGTCTTCATCACTGAGTCTTCCCACCTCTGATGGCTCAGATTCAAGTAATTCAGACTGTTTATCTTTGAAAGTGATATTACCCATTAAATACAAACTTGGCCTCGGATCTCGTCCAAAACCTAGTATCATACAACAAATTTAGTAGTATCTTTTAGATAACAAATGAAATATTTCCCTGTCTATTTTGCATTCATACCAATACCATACCTTCTAGTTGGCTATTGGAACTCCTTGTAAAGAAAACTTTTCCATTGTGAATAGCCATGACTTCAGTAGTTGAAGGCAGTTGCTTTGCACAATATTTAGCAATTGAAGTCCGTCCCCTAAGACGAGCTTCTTTCAATACTTACCAAAACCATAATTCATAAAACAAACTCAATCAAATACATAAACTTCTATTTCTAGCTCTACTTACCAGATTGCACCATCCTTAGTTATCCCCACTATAACAATTGATGCGGCGAGGTTCTTTGCCTCTCTCACTAGAACTTTTCCAATAGAATTCCCTTTGAAAACCTCAGCAGAGAGAGTGGCCTAAACTTGCCAGCCACAAAAGAAAAAGAAAAGGATTTAAGGTTTGGTAACTGTCGTTTTGTTTTACTTTCCGAAAGTGAAAAGTGATAGAAAAATATCAAGATTGACAAACCTGCTTTTGATTGCACAGCCATTGATAATCTTCCAAATAATCCTCCAACACTGTTTTTACTTTTGAAAGGGAATCTGCAATGAAAAATCAATGTTACCACCTCATGTTCTAAAAATTATATCCAATCCAATTTAGACAAGAATTTCACAGTTACAATTAATTCAGGATTACTTAACAAGACTAAACGGGATTAAAGAATACGGTCGAATCCTATCCAATACTACAAGGTACTAACAATTTAGAAGTGCTCATGTACCTGAATTTTGACATACATGAACAGCAACAACACAGTCTCCAGGATGAGCTACTTTAACAAGAGCCCAATCCAGCAACTCTTTACTATGGCCATCGAATCGAATCCCAACCAGGACATTCCTCTTTCGACTCGTCTTCAATTGTTCAACTATCATTCTGCTATTTTCTTGATTGATGGCCAGTAAATTCATCCTTTCATAACATTCCCTAATCAGCTGTTAATATTCCTTTGCATGAAGTAAGATTATCATCTCAATTCTTGAAATGATAATCAAACTCTGGACCAAAAACAATCAATAATTACTTCCCTATCTGAATATCAAAATACTGCATACAATTAATATAAACAGTCAAAAAATCCAATCCTTGGGTCTAAAGCAACCCTGTGAAAACAATTCCCAGACCCCACAAAGTAATATAAAAATTAAAGTAAACCAGCAAGACCCACAAGACTTTTAACACTAACGCATTATATGGGTATTAAACAAGCTTGCCTATGTCGAATCAACAAATACACGTTGAATAAACAAAAGTTAAGCAGGACCCGACAAGACAAATCTTCCTAAAATTTGAATACGCTTCTCATTCAAAGCCATCAAAATTTAAAATTGAAAAAGAAAATGCCGCCAAGGATCAAAGGTAGACCTACTTTCAACTAGCAAACAGTTTAATATATTGAAAAAGTACGAAAATGACAATAATGCTTACTCAAGCAAATGGCTTTATTGTACACAAAAAGCAAAAAAATTTCAAAAAATAAAGATTCCAAGAATATAACTGAAATTGGAATATAATTTGCAGAAACAATTATAACTGTGTGTGTGTGTGTGTTTTTTTTTTTTTTTTTTAAACCCGTTAATCTAACGGGCAAAAATTGCGGGAAAGCCATGATAACCGGTCAATGTACCAACCGACAAATCGGCCCGAGAACTCTCGACCCGGAAATGTGGGTCGATGGTTGCTGCAACGGTACACTTACGGTGTTATTGGTGAAAAAAGAGGGGTAATAATTAATCCCTAGGGAAATGGTAGTAATTAATAATTATTATTTTCTTAATTGAGAAGGCGAATTACTACTGATATTTCTTTATTGCTTATTATAATAATAAAGCTACTTATACAAAGTTGAATTACAAATCGTGTTAGCAAAATCCAAGCCATTAATTTTAAATGATTGGTTTGGATGTGATTTTATCATCCAACTTTATCAACCCCATTTGTAAGTGTAGACTAACTCTAAAGGACGCTGCTGAGCGAAATTTGCATAAGGATATTATATTTACGTAATGAAAGTCTTCAATTTTTTCATTATCATACTTATGGGCTCTTAACTTTTTTTTCATCGCATTTTTATATTCAACTTTTTATTAAGTAAAACATCTTCATTCATTCCAAAAATTGTCAGATGAGTGTAAAAAGACTTAATTATCCCTCATTTCAAGGCATATAAATAAAATATTTGGATAAAAATCGTCACCAAAGACAAAATTTGCTATTAATTAAAAGCTGAGAATAATAATGTGATGAAAAAATTAGAGATATATATGCAAGAATGTGCAAAGATTGAGGACCTCCATTATAATTAAAATGTGGTGAAACATGAATATCTTCGATAATTTTTCAAAATAGAAAAAGAAAAAGAAAAGATTAACTAAAACAAAAGAAATTTGGAGAAGCCTAAAGATCTAGAGTTCTAAAAATGACTCGCATGAAGAGTTCAACGTGTTAAAAAGAAGCCCATCATATCATCCTTTTTGTTTTGTCAAACTTAACAAGACAAAACTCGCCATCAAATGAGTCAACAAACTGGAGTCGAGCCAAATTAAAATTGGGTTAGTCCAAGCTTAAACAATCCAACATGCATTCCCAAGGAAATCACTATGGCACCAAGACAAATAAAATTAGGATTGTGCTACTTGTATGTAAAATTTGTACATAAGAATTACATAAAATGATGTGGAGGGAAAATATTGGATGCCCGAGCATCCATCCAATGTATTCTTTTTGATCTTGTACCTAGTACACTGAACACCAACCCAATCTCGGTGAAATGAAAAAATCAAAGTAGAAGCAACTGAAAAATTGACCGTATTGACAAATGATATAGTGATATGTAGCAATATGTAAAACTTAATATATAGATAGCAAGATCTGTAAAATTAGCTTAGCTGTTAGATAAGTCTTGTGTAAGAGCGGTCAAAGCTTAGAAACGTAAACCATTTATCAATTGAAGAGGAATTCCCACTGTTTCAGTCCATTCAAATCAAACACTTGAACGGGTCAAAAACTTGATGAAACTCCCTTGTATTTTACTTAAGCTCGAGAATGCTTTGACTTTGTTAAAGGTCAAAATATATTAGCTCACCCTAGTATAGCTTGGTACAATATTTTTTGGAATCAATAATTTACAATTTTATTGCAGTTCAATGTCAATAGAAGGGAGTCTTTGGTCCAAAATAATATTAATTAATGGTTAAATGACTCTGAGGTAATTATTTAAATTGAAAATAAAGTAAATGTAGGAAAAATTGGTGCATGAATTATATTCTGTTAATAAAAACACGTGCATGCAAATACGAATAGAGTAACGACTTATCAAAACCTTGATACGTGCATAATAAATCATGACTTACGCAAACATAGAAATTGCAAAAATTTGAAGGAGATAAAATGAAGCGAGGTATGCAAATCCAAATCTCCTTAAGACAAATTTAGCTCCCTGCACAAGTGCTAACAGGGTTAAATGAATGTACATCTCCCAAGATACAACGTTTTTCCAAAATTAATATAGCACAGTATTAATTTTGTCGTACAAATAACGCTGAACTGTACTCTTCTAAAACGAAAAATATTGAATACTAAATATCAAATACGAAACTTAAAAATAAAATGAAAATTATTTTGACAGAATTTGAAAAAGGAAAGAATTAGAAATCAATTATTTGAAATTGATTTGGAAGGAAAATAATGAAATTAGAAGGATCCTATTTATAGATTTGCGTGTGTCTCTTCGAAGGGTTGGATTTTCTTAGCACAAATTAATTTCAACCACTAGATTGTACCATTTCATATTTTATGGTGTAGATTGCACCTTATCAATATCACGCCTATTTTAAAATAACACAACTCTTTGATATGCACCATTTGTAATTGAAAGTCGTGACTAGTCATCGCATCAATTGGAAACTTTTTTCAATTCACACCTATAAATATCCCAAAAAATTCCAAAAATAAATAGTATCATCAAAATAAGTACGAAAATGTTAAAGTTTTGATAGGAAAAATTAATCTTACCAAAAGCCCAGTCAAAATGCAAATTGAAGCAGACATTTTTTTTTCTTGTCTCTATGCATGAATCTACTCCTTCGTTTTCATGATTGCGTATTTATATGAAATTTTACAACCAAGTATCCAACCTAATTGCATTGCAAGTCCTTTTCCTTCTATAACATGGCCCAATAAGTCCCCTTTTTTCCATTCTAATTCAACGTGCGATTTCTTTAAGAGTACTTTTCAATATTATTGTGCAAAATGTCACTGCCTTTATATTTTTTTGGCATTTTATCCTTCTATCCACTTCTTGTCAATCTGTCCGTTAAGTAAACACTTGTACTCAATTTTCTTTTCAAAATGGAAGGGTAATATTGTCTGACAAATTTTGCCCTACTCTTCCCTTGCGCGAAGTGCCAACAGTTATCCCCATTCCTCTTGAAAGAGTGATTAATACTTGGCGTCATCCAGAGATGTTCTCGTCCAAGAAAGAAAACACTTTTTTACTATATTCCGGAGCACAGATATAAAGCAAGGTTTTATGTAACTGCAGCAAAAACCATACGCTGAAAGGTCGGTATTGTTGGAATGCGGAAACGGAATTAAACAAAAATTAAAATTTTCTTTAAAAGCAAGATTATCTAGATGTTCACATGTATGTTATAACAAAATTAAAGGATTCGATTCTTTTACGTAAGTTCAATGATCAACCTTGAATTAACTCTGATCCGCGAACTTCCGTCTCCTTTAATGGCAAGAATCTTGGTTGTTCAAACCTTCAAATCTTTTAAGGTATTCTCCAATGATAAGGCTACACCGACATGTGGACACATTCTTTCAGTTAATCTATAAACTAATTCTTGAATCTTGGACAACAAGAAAATGATAGATTTTCACTCTCTTTTTCTCTCTACAAATTTGAATTTTATGGAATTATGAATGTTGTAGTATTTTTCTATCCATCTAATCTCTATTGATAGAGAAAAAAATTATAAAATTCTAGTACAATTATAATTCCACATTCAAACAAGAGTTCTAATTAAAACTCAAGTAGGAGTTCTAATTTAAATCTAATTCTAATTAGTTTACATATAATTGCATATTTAGTCCTAGAACTTCAATTACAATTACAATTAAGTTTATAACTTTCATAGTAATTACAACCAAGTACAAAACTTTATTGTAATTACAATTAAGCTCAAAACTATTATAATTACGGTAATTAAGTTCCAATACTTTATGGAGCTACCACAGGGACCTGATCGAACATATATTTTCCAAACTCCAATAATTAGATCATGTCTAGTTGACCCTAGACCACCCAATCTAATTATTAGTCCCTGCTTTCTCCACTAAAGGCAAAAGACTGAACCCTTGAAATATATAAGATCACAAAGTCAATAAATCTGTAATACTTTCCTCTANTGCTTTCTCCACTAAAGGCAAAAGACTGAACCCTTGAAATATATAAGATCACAAAGTCAATAAATCTGTAATACTTTCCTCTAACATGCCGTATATGTATTTTATCCCCGTCCGAGATCCGATAATTAGGTACGAGCATAAATGACCGTTTTGCCCATCTAATTATTTTCACTAACTCAAGTTTCATTTTCTTCAACGATCCTGTGAACAAATCACAGATGTCGAAGTTTAGCCGTCGCTACACATTGAGCTCAAATTTTAACCGTTCATTAGAAAATACTCAAGTAGTCACTCTACCCATTTTCAGGGTGACGATTCCCAACACGAATTCATGTTCTCTACTCCGTTCATTCTCAAGTTCCCAACTCATCAAGACATTTGACCAATCAAATTGATCTCACCCATTGATCATAACGGTCAAAAAATCAATTCTCAAAATTATATGGGCCAATAACCCAACAGGTATCACATCGACTTAAAAGAAGATTCTGGTGTCTAATCAAACTTAATCAACAGAATAAAACGATACCCAACCATAGTCATGACTACGTATGAAGGCAAACTCACTCGTACAAGTCCGTTGATGTCTCGAGAAAACCCTGCTGCTGAACTGATGCGGCCGCCATCTTTATGCCATCACTACTACAAATGAGTTTATCATGGGCTACAGCTTAATACCAAGTCTATTGCAACTACTCTACACCATTGAATTTTGGTTTTATGCATTCTACAAATATCAACAGTGCCGCAAGTACACCATAAGGATGGTTCGCACAATCAAATATGTAATTAAAGGTGACGATGTCAAAAAATTTAAAAATATGAACGTTTTGTATAATAATATTGAAAGGTAAAGATGTTATCTGCTCATTACCCTTGTTTTAACATAAAAGAACAAGACTCCTAATACAATAAAAAAGGACTTCCATTCTCCTTTTTCTTTACCAAGAAAAATTCTTATTTTCCTTTCCACAGTA